TTAAGTGTACGAATACTTTCAATAAGTTTTTGACGAGAAAGTTGACGTGAAGGATCAACAAAAACAAAGTTTAGAGTATTATTATTCAAAGACATTTTATTTCAATGATAACAGACATGATAATTAAATGCTGTATATATAAAGTTTTTTTTTAAATAAATTATATTACAGTATATATATTTTTTTTAAAAAAAAATGAATAAGATTTGGTACTACCGCTACTTTATGCAGATCGTACAGTAGTCCAAATTGTAGAAATTGGGTACAGTAGTCCAAATTAGTATATTAAAGGTTATGTAGCCGTATATGCTTTATCAACGTGACAGAAAATGATACTATTATATATGAGGCATTTTTTTTGTTTCGCGGACTTTACCTATGATTAAATTAGAAATTACATCAAACGGATTTTATCTAATAGGTAGCTACGATTTATAAATAGAAATTTGTGTAATTTTCTGTCCATTTATATATAGTTATATTTTGTTTAGTAAATACTGAACGGCATTTTCCAAGGCCTAAATGTTAATATACAAAATATACTGTACAACGACAACATAATACATATTCATTAGCAACCATATTAAATTTTTATATCAATACGAATTTTTTCCTTGACTTTCAACAAAAATACACCTATAATGTCAAGGAAAAACGATAACGGCAAAAAAAAAACTCCCTTTCTACCCATTTTTAGCTGGCGGTGGTGCTGGCCTTACGGAGGTGTTATGTTGCCACCCTTTGGATACCATAAAAGTGGGAATGCAATTGAGCAAAAAGGTAACGAGATTTAAATCTACGATTTTTAACACTTGATCAGCAGGCCTACCGAATAATTGATTGTGGAGGCAATTAATTGCAATTTTTTGAACTCAATTAATTGATTGGTGGCGCAGTCACAATGAGTCAATTTTTGTGTGATGAATTATTTGCGTGACAAATAAGAGTTCACTAATACGATTAATTAGTAAATCCTTATTTGTCACAAGTGATTCATCGCAACCATGTGGCAAATGGTAATTATTTCGTTATTAATTGGGTTTCAATTAATTTTATGATAATTTGAATTGATTTTTTCGGTAGGCCTGTTGATTAGTAAAACATTATGAAAAATTTGTAATGTCTTCGTCTTCACAATCTTAGGCTATAAGGCCAGGCTTTATTGAAGTTATTAATATCATGAGAAAAGAAAAGCCTTTAGCATTATACAAAGGTCTTGGTGTAGTAGTAACTGGAATAGTACCAAAGATGGCTATTCGTTTTTCTAGTTTTAAATTATACAAAGGCTGGTTGGCTGATAAATCCACATTCTTTGGTATGTTTATTGATTCTGATAATTGTTCAATGGTGATCTAATCAGTTGTTTATTAATCCATCTGTGTAATAAATTCGCTACGTATAAAGTCATTAGTGAAATTCTCTTAATATAAATTAAAATTTCTTTTCTTATAATGAAAAGCGAATGCTTAATAACGATCATTCTCGTTCACTAAATAATGTGTAGCATAATGCAGATCTTTATAATTTTCATTGTTTAATTTTTTATCGTAATAATATTTTGGGTCGTTGGGTATTAACGTTAAAAATCCATTAATACACAGTGACCCAAGCTATTACACTCTCATATGATAAAAAACGCCATTATATCATCATTTAAACCTTTCTATAAAATAATATTAATGATTCCTAAAAAAAAAATCATTCCTTTATAAAAGCACCCGGATTTTTATTCAATTTATGCCGATTCATCCAATACTCACTAGTAATAAAACGGCGACGTTTTGTAGGGCTGGAACCCTACGTATTAGGTTCTTTAATTTGAAACTGTAATTTGCTTCTTTGATTTGGTTGCGTGATAAGCACAACAAATCTAGTCGGTCAGCAAATATTTTTTCTAAAAATCAACAATAAAAATAGTAGGACAGTTAGGGAAAAGGAACTAATACTATATATAAAGCTATACTATATCGATATAATAAGGTCGTTCAAATTTAAACCTTTGGTTAACGTCATCCCCCCAGTGAAGAAAATCTGAAAAAATTTTCTTGTTTTTAGAGAATATAACATTTTATAGCGCTTTGCAAAAAGGTGTGACCCCCATGATTTTTGTGATGATGCAGTAGAGAATTTTAATAAAGAATCTAATAAGAAAATTTAATAGAGAATATGTAATAATTTGCAATCATACTTGAAACCAGTAACCTTATCAAAATTCTCTTATTAAATTCTCTATTTAAAATTTCCCTACAAAGAAAATCACAGGTCACACCTTTTTGCAAAGCGCGATAAATTTATGTTCTTATTATAAATTTTACTATATTCAAAAAATTTTTATGTTATTAACTATATTAAAACCAGAAAATTTTATGTTTTTAAAATGAGAACATAATTTTTAAATAAAAATATTTTAATGTTTTCAAGAACATTAGATTTCTGATACTGATTCTCTTATTACGCTATAAAGTGTTTGTTTAGAATTCTCTTTCTAATTCAAGTAATGTAACAAAATAATATAAATATATTAAAAATGAATCTTTAGTACAAATTGCAAGATATC